AAGAGAATGAGTCTTAAATGTTATGATGTTGGCTAGCTGACTGATGTTTCACAGGTGTAACAACAGGTCTTACTCCAATAAGAATTCATATAAGACCTTTGTGGTAGGTTTTCAGTCTGACAGACCATATATGTGTGTTGGAAGGAAGATTTCAGGATTCTTCAAATCACACCATCTGGCCAACCATTCCCGAAATGCCCAGCTGCTGACCTCTTACCTGGTGGCCCAGGAAGTCCTATTTTAAGATAAGAACCAGGATCTTGTACTCTCATATGGGAAGAAAACTTAAAGAGAATTCTGAGCAATCATAACTAATGTTACAAATTCCACGAATTAAAAATCGAGGATAGAACATCCACAAGGATACAGAAGAGCTTAACAGCACCGTCAACCACTGGATCTAATTGAAATTTATAGAGCACTCCACCCCAAAACAGCAAGACACACACTCATTGCTTCTGCATATGGAACATTCACCAAGATAGACCATATTCTGAGTCATGAAACTCATGGATGTCTCCTATGAAGGACAGTCCTTCAGACTCACAAACAAGTTGCACTTGACATAAAATTCTGTGGACCATCTGGAATCTCTGATCACAGCATGACACAAGAGAAAAAGGAATTGCTGCATGATGGGCAATACTCATCAATAATAGCTGTCCACCAAACCATTTGGGAGAAGACGAAATAGCTATAAAATATAGGCACAAAGTCCCAGAGCAAAGCAGTCTGGGGCCATCTAGTTCAGGGGCAAATAGTAATTGAGAAATGTCTGAGGGCACTCCTGTGCTAGTCTGCTCAGTGGTTTAGTAGAAACAGCATGAGGGTCAGCTGAACAGGTTCTGGACCTGGCTCTGCCACTAACCCACAAGAGGCTGTGGACCAGTTCCTTTCACTTCCCCTTTCTGGAAACTACCTTCCTCTTGGGTAAATGTAGTCATTAGAATCTAGTAACTAGATCTCAAAGATGATTTCCACTTCTACCTTTCTGTGACTATTTTTGGGTACATTCTAATGCCCCTGGGTCTTCAAAGAAAGGACAAATAATTCTCAGTAATCTTTGTGTTAGAAGATAGGGGATGGTGTGAGACATCAGAGGGCAATTTCTACCCAAGCATCATT